GGCAATGTATTCATCTATGTATCAGCTTACTGTGTAGAACTCATCTTCGCTTGTCACTTAGAATCCTCTGGTGGTGATCGAACAGCAATGAAACACATACATAGAACAACAGTGAGATTGTAACGTTTTGTATAAAAAAAATGGCCTGCAGTAATCAAATTTGGCCACAGGATGTCATTCTTACGTCCTTCTTACATATTGCACCTTTAAGGTAAAATATACTCCTTCTATTCTGCAATGATCATGTATTTAGCCTGAGTGGTGTAATACAGTATGGAGAAAACTGTCAGTAAGACGTACCTTTAGCAGTCCATTTTCAAAACACCTCAGCTTTTACAACATGGACAACAGCTTCTGGAGCTAGGTCTCATGCCTGTTTAGCACCTCAGCTGAATTTTCAAGTCCTTATTACTTTTCCATCACATTTTCCTTTTGTTGGCAGGGCAGTCGGTTGCACGCACCTGTTGGTCAGCTGGACTATTTGTGTTGAGTTTAAATGTTTTGTTTGTGCCTGCAGCCTAGTTGTATGTTACCTGACGTTGGCACGCTTAACTGCTTCACCTCAAGTGCCAGCTGGAATAAGCTCCAGATCTCCTCCAACAAACCTGTTTTCCATTGAGGCTGAGGAAACATTTGGCTGAGGAGAGTTGACATGATGATGTAACTTTTTTTTTTTTACCATTTCACCACAAATACAAAAAAGGACCGTTATAGAGAGTAACCAATTACACAGAGACAGTTTGTCACAGTTATCCGGACCGGAGTTGGATGACTTTTACACCAAAACAGGAAATGAGGTATAGAAATAAGAATAATTTAACATTATTCAGCAGGAGGATCCAAAACAAAAGTCAGGATTCATTTGTTTAAATCTTATTTAAAGAGCAGGTTCACTGAAAAAACATTTGAATGACTCTGAGTTTTTCATGCAGGCCCAACATGAAAGTAGTCTCCTACACCTATCTCCTTCATTAGCTTCTGGTAGAAAATAGACAGAAGAACGCCCGGTTCAGAAAAGCCTGATAGATCTACATTGCACTGCCAGTTAACATTCATGGAGTTACCCATCTTGGCTCTTGATGGAGAAGGCTGTCGTTCGTTCAGCATCCAGGAAATGGTAGAGAACTGCTCGGCTAGTAGAAGCTAACTGTTAGCATTAGCGACTCCAACACACAGCAGAACTCCTTCAGGCTTGTGTTAGTTTTGGAGATAAAACTTCAAAGATGCATTGGCTACTAGTAGGGCTGGGCGATATGACGATTTTAGACCGTTTTACGATCTACACATCTGACGGTCTGTCATTTTTGAGAGACCTTTTTATCACGATTCACAGCTCTGCTGTTGAAATTCTGCCTCTGAATGAAAAGGGACCTTACCTCAGGCGAATGACACGCCTTTGTTTGACCCTTAACCAATCAGAGTGAGTCATAGTAATATATTAGTGCCCCGCTTGTATTCACCTGTGTGTGAACAAACATGGCTTCGGCCGCGACTGAGAGCGACAGCGAGGTTTTCGTTCCGAAGAGGAACGCCTCGTCCATTATATGGAACTGGTTTGGTTTTTCACCAGATGACAAAGAGCAGCGAAAGGTTATTTGCAAAGTTTGCAAGGAGAGCGTCAAGGCAAGTGATGGCAACACCACAAACTTGTTTAATCACTTGAAAAGAAGGCATCCCAAACAATACAATGAGAGCCAGCTGGCAGCTAAAGCTAAAAAGCCTGCGGCTGCAGCGGCAGCGGCTAGTGCTTCTTACAGGCAGCAAACGCTAACAGAAACACTCACAAAACTCACTCCTTACGACAGAGACAGCAGACGATGAAACAGCGTGACAGATGCAGTGACGTACCACTTGGTTAAAGATTTGTGTCCCGTGCGAACAGTAGGAGTGGGATTTAAGAAAATGATAAAAACATTGGGTCCGCGCTACGAGTTTTCCAGCCGCAAGTATTTTTCAAACACCGCCATTCCCCGCATGTACGCTGAATGCAAAGTGAGAGTTGCAGAAAATATTCAGAATGCGCAGTTTTTTGCTACCACAAGCGATCTCTGGTCCAGCCGCACATCAGAGCCGTATTTGAGCTTAACTATCCACTACATGAGCAACTGGGAGCTACATAGTATTTTGAACAAGTTAATGTTTGCACAATACGTTTGCAATTTACATGTTTGCACTTTAAATATGTTTACGATATTAATTTATATTAAGTTACTTGAAAAATGAGAAAAACTGATTTTTGTAATTGTTTCTCTCAGAGCTTTTATTATCTCTGGTGTGAGTTTAAAATATAAGTGTGTTAGCACTGTGCTGATTATCCCTAATATGAATAAATGTTTATTTATTCAATGTTTCTCTTCTTTAATACGCAATTGAAGTTATGTTATTCATAGATAAAAAATCGTGATAAAATCGAAATCGTGATAAAATATTGGAAAAATCGTGATATTCTATTTTTGCCATATCGCCCAGCCCTAGCTACTAGTTATTCACTGGACCAAATTTAAGATTTTCTTGTTTGTTATTAAACCAATCATATGTCTTGCACTTTCTTATTTGACGGAGCTTCTAGTACCACCTATTCCAGCCAGAACATTGCAGTTTAGCTGTGTTACTTCTGGAGGTCCCAAGAACTAAACTGAAAACTGGCGGTGACAGATCTTTCTCTGTAGCTCCCGACACTCTGGGACAGCGTTCCATTTTTGGGTATTAAAATTTCACTGAAGACCTGTTTATTTGACCAAGCATTTAGCAAAAACTTTAAAATGTCAGCTTATTTTATTGTAACCTAATGGCTGTATTTTATTCATTTTCTTGTGTATATTAGTACTATTTTTAGCTTTATAGTCAGTTTTACTGAATTCATTGCTTTTGCTGTATCACTCATTTTAGTCCTTAGTTCTTTTTCAGCTCAGCTGACACTAATACATTTGACCTTGACCTTACAAGGGAGTCATTCCTGCTACAGATCACTGTAAATGTATTAAAATATAAGCAATGTTGACCTTCAAGTTTCAGAGCCTCGTGTCTGAATTGACATCGTTTTAATCTACGTAAAACTCACCAATTCTCTTGAAGTAGTCATGAAGGTTGTTGCTAATTTGCTCTGCTTTCATCCAAGACAGTCCTTTTTTGTCATACTTTAGTTTGTTCTGAAGAGAAAAGGCAGTTATGTTCTGTGGACGCCAGTAAAACCCTGGGTGTTGGGTATGGGAACACTGGAGTTAGAAAACATGCTGCTATTGTGAGCTTGGCCCTTCAATGAGGTGTGTGTGTGTGTGTGTGTGTTTTTATAAGAAAATCAGTTGCAAATGTTTGAAGCGTTTCCTGACTTTTAATAACCAACAGCATAAATTATCTTTCACACATCTGATTGTGGTTAACAGACAAGTAACTTTATTTGGCTCTTTTATTAGACGTAGCCAAAAATCTCCATATGTCCAACTTATGGGGAAAATGTCCGTCTTTGTGCCAGATTTGCTATTTTTATTGGACCTACTTTATGTAGGATCCTCAAAGATAGATTCATACCTTCACACTGACCACGTCTGATTGAAATGCACCTTCTACATGTGGCTGTCATCTTCCCATGTTATTAGTCTCTTCACATTGTAAGAGTCTAAAACTCCAAAAATCATGTAACATAGTTGAAACTGTGTGGTGAAATTCAACATGTTTTACAATTATTGTTACAATAGATTAAAAAGTAAAGAATTTTTAAATTTTTTTGAAATATTTGGTTTTATACCCATATTAAAGACCTCTGCCACCCTTATACTTTTGTGGGTCAGAAGCCTTTAAAGTTGAAAATGTTCTAGATGAATCCTTTCTGAGAACTGACCCTTAGTCACCAGAAATGCTATGTGCGTTTCTGCCAGTAAATAAAAAAAAAACCCTTCCAAGCAGACTCCAAGCTTGGTAGCATCCTGACGTGGAAGTGACTTGGAGCCTGTAGCTGCAGAAACGGCACGAGTTGTGGACAGTCGGTCTGCTCTGAGCAACAATCCTATCAGACCCGACCACAAACCACCCAGACCTGACGCTAACAAGGAGAAAATGACTCTGGAAGTTTCCATGACCTTTTCTTCATAGTCTAGCAACAAGGTTATGTGGCATTCATCACAATTAATACTTGATTTAAAGATCTAAAACAAAAACACATGTCAAAGTTTAAAGAAAGAGTGGTTTATTTAAAGCTTCCTTTTACTATTGCCATAAATTTTAGCTAAGGGTTGAAATGCACTAAAACCTTCTCCTGTCATCCTCCAGCTGTCTTTTATGAATGATTTTTTTAAAACACAAACATCCGTGTTTGTGTATTTAGATGAAACGCCTCAGCAACTGTTGTGCAGATTGTCATCAAACGGAGTATCCTGACAGTCGGGCGATCTGGTGATCATATGGAGTCATAACCTCCCCCTGCGGCTTGACAAATGTTGTTATACTGTATATTTAGTGGTGCTCCTTATGGTAATGGCTCTCATTCCAGGCCCGTGCTAGCTTAACTGCACCTCAAGTGGAAAGTGTTCCCATTCCTCAACGACAATCAATGATATCCCAGGGCTTATGGGTGCCTTTGACTTTTGCCTGTATTAAATAAAGAGAGAAAAGTCTCCTCATGAGTGAGAACGGTCTAAAGTAAATGATCAGACGAGTCTGATTTCTAATTAGTTAAACCAAATAACTTCCTGTAGGTCAGTCTTTGCTGCTGGCGGTGTGATGTCTTGAAAAGTTGCTTAAAATCTGATCGTCTGGACCATCAAACTATTCATTCACATGTTTATGGCTCGGCTTTGTAGCTGAGCACGTGTGCCAGAGCGGACCTAGATGGTCTGAACCGCAAATTATCCCTCGTCTTTTCTTTTCCCATCTTTGTTATGATAAAGGCCAGTTTTATTTGTCACTTTTCTATTCTGACACAGCTCTTTCATCATGCTGTGTTTTGGTGCAGCTTGTGTTTATTTTAGCAGTCTGACGTCTTGTGTTGCGTCTTGTGTTTGCAGCTCAGGACAATCCGGACAGCCCGAGGCACAAATACAACTTCATCGCTGACGTGGTGGAGAAAATCGCTCCGTCTGTAGTTCACATTGAACTTTTTCGCAAGTATGTGCAAACTGGGCACCTGTGAAGGAGCGTGTGTGTGTGTGTGTGTGTGTGTGTGTGTGTGTGTGTGTGTGTGTGTGTGTGTGTGTGTGTGTGGAGGGGAAACCATTCAGTTAAATGCTGCACGTGCACTGCTTTTAGGATTTTCTTTTATTCTGATGTACCAATCCTGATTTTTGTTGATTTTCATTTATTGCTAAAACATGAAGGACACATTGCATTTAAAAGGACTATGAAAATGAAAAACAAATGACTGTTTAATGATTCAAAAATGATCAGAACTTTTAGAATTTGTCCAGATTGACCAATTTTTTGAGGACCTTCTCTTTCCACAATCATTCTTGTTTGTTTAAGATTTCCTCAAGGATTTGGGATTTGATTAAATGACACCAAAGATGTCACTTTTTGTCTTTTTTTTTTTTTTTTTTGAACATCTTCCAAAAGAAAGCAGCTTGGCTTGAGTCCTCAAATATTGGTATAACCTTCCAACAAAAAGATGTAACCTTTCTTTTATGGTGTGTTTCCTGACCATAAAAAACCCAACTCAAAATGAAAAGGTGATCTGCCACTCTCCTTCCACACCAGCCCCTCATCCCTCTTTCATCACATCTCATCAGTACATTTTACTTCAGTTTCTACTGACACTATGCATCAGCTCTGTTTCTTAGAAGTAGAGACTCGTTGAAAGGAAAATCTTTAATCTCCCCTGTCTCCTTCTCTCTGTTCTTCCGTTCTTCCACAGGATGACTTATTCCAAGCGGGAGGTGGCTGTGGCCAGTGGTTCTGGGTTTGTTGTGTCAGAAGACGGCCAGATTGTGACTAATGCCCACGTTGTGGCCAATAAACACAGAGTGAAGGTGGAACTGAAGAGCGGTGCCTCCTACGACGCCAAAATCAAAGACGTGGACGAGAAGTCGGACATTGCACTCATCAAGATTGATGCACCGGTCAGTCAAAGTTAGACAGACGGTTAGAAGTGATCGGATGACTAGAGTACAAAATAACCATGACTACAGTTTTATACTTGAGGAGGAAAATATTTAAAGAAAATATTTATTTAAAGTTATACGTCCACTTTTGTATCCAAACCAGACATGGAGCAGAAGGTTTAGTTGCATCTTTTTTGGCATGAAAATGTGAAAAGCAGCAATTTGTTTATAATCTTGTTAAAATGAGACAGCTTCTTATTTGGCAGCTGCATCCAGACTTAAAAAAAATTCTAAATACCTGCCTAGTCAAGGACAATAAAATCAAGACCGTCCCTTATAAATAACAATAAAAAGAAAACAAACTTTAAGTTGCAACATTTTATTACAGAGTAGTGTGAAACGATTCAAATTATTACATAGACTTTAGAGGGTTTGCAGCTGTCCAGCGTGCTCTCCAACCTCCGCTCAGAGGTCTGAACCAAGCAGGAGACGAGGGGCGAGGAGTGCGTTGAATCCATGGTGGATCCGTGACCTTTCACCTAGCTCACTCGAACTGACCTCAGGTGTTCAGTTCAATGTCAGGTGACAGGTAAACAAATATGTTTACATTCAGTTAATTGGTTGGTTTAAATGCTTCGATTTAAACATTTCAGAAATTTCTGTCTGCAAAACGTAAATTTAAAGGTCAACTTTACTGAAAAAGTATTTTTTAATTAGTCATTCTGAAATTTTCATGCAGACTGCACATGAAAATGGTCACCTACACCTATCTCCTGCATTAGCTTCTGATAGAAAATAGACGGTGAAATGCTAGGGTTGACAGATCTACGTCACACTCGCTTAACATATATTGACTCACCCATCTTGACTCATGACAGGGAAGGCTGTTGTTGGTTTAGCGTCGAGGAAATGGCAGAGAACGTCTTGACTAGCAGAAGCTATGCATTAGCATTAGCGTTAGCATTAGCATTAGTGACTCCATCACACAGCAGAACTCCTCCAGGCTTGTGTCATTTGTGGAGATAAAACATCAGTGTTGCAGAGCAAATAGAGTCAGTGGTAGAGTCACTTTGCCGTTATCCAATCAGAGGCGAGATGTCCAAAATATCAGAAAGAAAGACTCCAAATCCTGCCGTTGGAAGCTCAACTGATGTGGGTCACTTCTAGTTCCAGAAACGGGTGCACCAGAACTTTTTCACCCCGTGATCATCTTACAAGGCATTCATTCCTAATAGAAACCACTGCAAATGTATTCAAAATATGAGTACATTTGATCTTTAATTTGGTTTTTACAATGCATCAGGTTAAAAAAAACATTTAAAAATGAAGCATAGAGTTAAAGTGACATGTCATGGCAGTGATTGCTTAGGATGTAAGAGCTAGAAAGTGAGGACGCAGGCGTTGCCAGATGTTGGAGGTGGACTCAGATTCTGTCAGTTCTACAACAGCTGACAAAAATCAAAGAATTCGGGGATGATTACTTATTAGTGATGAGTTTTTTTTTAAAGCTTGGGTTTGGAAGACAACAGTTTCATCACATGACATCTGTTTGTCTAATTTTCTCCTGTTGTGTCCCTGTCTGCTGGAAAAGAGGGGTCCATGCTGCACGTTAATCATGGTGGGTCATGTGAAGGAATGTATGGCAGAGATCCGGGGGCTATTGACTACGAGTTGTAGCAAGGCTGAGTGCATCACAGAGCTGACTCTGACGGCTGAAAAGTCATCAACAACTGCAGGTGGTGGAGCATTACGTTACTATTGTTTTAAACAAAACAGCCACCTTTATGTGGACGATGCATGCATTTCCATCATGCTAACTCCAATTTTTTTAGGATTTTTCTGTAAGGTAATTAAAGCTCACCAGCTAGTAAATAACGTAGCGGAGCAGGTTTGTTATTATCACATGACAGCCAGATGTTTCCTTGGTGTCATGCAGGCAGGAAACACGAGTGCATTTGTTTCAGTAAAGGTTATTAGTCATTTAGAGAAGTCAGATGTTCAGACTGACACAAATCAAAGAGGTGACTCGGTTTGAGGGGAATGGGTGGCCATTTGTCACTTTCAGCAATGCTTGGAAAGCTGCTGAGTCGGGCATATTTCAAAACGTAAAATCCAAATTAAACACAGTATCAACTACAGTAAGGATGCACGTTCTGATGGCCTTCATATGAGGAGAAGTTGATCCAGACTGATTTAGACGGACGGGTAGCTCAGCCTCAGTGTGATATTACCTAGTGAGAGTTGATACATGAGATAAATTAGAGGATGAGGGAGTTTTAATGAGAGGGTGAGCAACGCTGTCATTTACAATTAGGAGATAAATACAGTCATCTGAACTAATTCCAACATTTAATTTCTGTTCCTGAAAAATCAGAAGTCCTATGATGGGGCCAGCCTTTTTTGTCTGATGCGGTTCATCAGAATTATGATTAGCTGAGCTGGAAATAACGTTTTTAAGCATGTGATACATCGCCTTGTCATTTAGAGAGACAACATTTCCAGGAACAATGAACAATTTGCTATTTAAAGACAACTTGGAATAATTTGGGTAATTTCCGACAACAGCAGCTGGTTTTATGGTTGATTTTATACCAATGTTAAGATTTAATTTCTTCTTTTCTTATGGATATTTCAGGCTACTTTAACTTATATCTTCCACCAGATGCTGTGCACTTTACATTGCCTTGATCTGTCACTATACAAGTGATTTTATCCATGCGTGGAAACTAAAATCTATAAAAGATGCTGTAAAAACGTTCTATGGCCTGTAGTAGTTTAGATTTTCTGCAGTGTGGACAAAAAAACGACCTTAAATAGTTACGAGAAATAAGGAAAAAATTTTACTCAGCAGAACAAGCCGACCCGTCTGCGCCTCTGAGGTTTGTAGCATTTTTAGCAAGATGAACATGAGATTTAATTACAATTCTTGTCCATGCACATTGATTTAATACAAAGCATAGGAAATATTTTGATTTGACACCTAGAGTTGACACTTGTTAGACCATTTCTGCAGTTTTATTCTTGGAATGCATTGTTTGAGTCCCTTAAGGTTGTGTGTGAAACTTGTTTTTCCACTTTTACTCGTCTCAACAAAATAAAACCAAAGGTTCAAAACAATCTTCACAAAATTTACACTGCATGTTTTAAAAGGCTATAAATCATTCTAAGTACTTTCATAAATAATTTTTTTAAAATCCAGCTTTTGTTTTATTTTGGGACTTTGAATTGATTTTCAGTGGAATTATGAGGAGTGAGGTTTAAGCTGTTATGGAGAATCTGCAGACAAGCTAGGTTTTGAACGTAAACACGGTCACAGAACACACACTCTTCTCCTCGGGTGTCTTTCCTGAGAGGCTTCTGCCGGAACCGGAAACCCGTGATGCCAGAGGAAAGATGACAGCGCTAAATACCGGTCGCCCTTTTCTAAGTCCAAACGTCTTTTGCTGTCTGTCACTTGAAATGGTGTTTTTCTTTTTGGGACTCTGGTAGTTTGTCCTAAAGTTGTTGAAGTGGTAGCAGCCAGCTGTTTCTCCTCCTCTGATAATATAGAGCGGAGAAGCTCTCACATCAGTGGTGTTCTGTTGCTAAATACGCACGTGCATTTGGAGTGGAGGACCCAGGGAAGTGTGGCAGTTCTGTGAGACCGACAACCAGATGGTCCGATAGTTTCTTTCGGTCTCAAATGTTTTATTGGGGGAGGTTTTTAGACAAATGGGAGAAAACAACTTTTTTCTTTTTACTTTATTTATTTTCCACAATATATTTATAGCTATACTATGTTAGAACATTAAGAGGCATGAAAAAATGCTTTAAGCTAATTTGTTTTTCAAATTTGCTATAGCAGCTTTAAAGCTGTGGTTGACTGAAAAAAAATGTGAATGATTATTTTTTTATTATAATCAGTCACTCTGAGTTTTTCATGCAGGCTGAACATGAAAACTAAACTGGTCTCCTGCTTTAGCTTCTGATTGAAAATAGATGGTGAAAGCTAGGATTTGAGAATCCTCACATACCCGGTATCTATGTCACACTGTGAAGTTGCCCCTCTTGGCTCGCGCCTGCCCAAAGGAGGGCTTTTTAAAAGAAATTTGCAGCAAGGAAAGAGAGCGGATATTGCCTTTGTGGTAATGACTCTGCAACATGGATGAACCCATTCTGTTAGCCAATCAGAAGCTAGGTGTGTGCATATCCTTAATGATGAGTGATCCTGCTGTTTTCAGCCAACCTCTGCACCAACCAACTTCTGCATCTCAGAACAGGAGCATCATAGATTTTTTTAATTTTTCTGAATGACTAGACTAGAACGACTAGAGAACACTAAAAGTATATTGAATAAATGAGTAAACCACACCTTTAAACTAAATCACTGTGGCCTGGTGACTGCTTTAGAGACACAAAACTGACATTTTTCTCCCTGGTCAGTTGCTGCTTGGTCAGCTCCCCAGTCGCCCTCAAAGTCGTTTCTTGTGCTTGTGCAACTGTGTCTCTGTGAGAAATGTGGTCTTTTTTGGTAAATGGTTAGTGGCCTGTGGTTGATATAGCATCTTCTAGGATTCCACTGCCCCTCAAGGCACTTTACAACACAATTAGTCATTCACACAGTGGTGGTGATGAACTGCAATGTAGCCACAGCTGCCCTGCTGAGCACCAGCACCTCCAGTCCCTCCGATCACCAGCAGGCAAGACGGGTTAAGAGTCTTGCCCACGGTCGACTGCAGCAGATAGAGCGGGACTCAAACCTGCAACCCTCCGGTTATGAGGCGGGCTCTTCTGCCACCTTGTTTTAAGTTCCAGCCACACCAGCGTGGCTTGTAAAAATGAGCACCTTTTGCAAAAATATAACATTTTGAAATTTCTGAAAAGCATGAATGCAGCTTTAGCAGACAGAATTTCAACCACAGATGATGAATCTGTTACGTATCTATCCTAAATCATCTCTCTTGCCTTCTGGTCTTGGATGTATTGTTCCTGTCCGCTGCCAGCCCTCCCCCCTTAGTCCAGTTCCATCATTTCTCTTT